TCGGCGTCAATTAGTGAAAGCCGTCATTCCCTAAAATGCCTAGTCATTTCACGTATTGTCGGCAAACAGCGTAACAGCGTAACTTCCATTTTCAGACGTTACTCTGTTTGCCGGATGGTTGAGGAAGGAAAATATCCTTTCTGCATATGCATAAGATGGGAGACTATTTTTCCGCCTAAATGAACCGTCTTCCTAGAAAGTATACATATTTTTCAGAAAATTATACTTCAGAGAACAGGAAAGACTACTGCTTCTAAACAACCTAAGCTTACTCGGCCTGAATGAACCTCACATGGGAATGCCTGAAACTATTAGGCAAACGCGGTGTACGAAATTTAGAGTTACGCTGTTTGCCGGTAAACACGTGAAATGACTAAGCATTCCAGAGAATGACGGATTTCACTTCTTACTCCAATATAATATTTTGTATAAGCTTTTACGAACGAATTTACCACTCTCAAAGTTGAGATTTCGGTTAACTGGTCGAGAACCAGTGCATTTACCTTCGATCTTTCTCGAATTAAAATATTCATTGAATTTCATGAGGATATAGCGGGACATAGGGAAGGCGAGAGGATTTCTCTTAGATTTTTTCCGAAAATAGATGCATTTTGTCATTTTCCAGAATTCTTATATTCGTTTCGTTATGTAATTTATGAATATTCATTCACCCCCTTCACAATGGCTTCATACCCCTTCCGCTGTGAAATCAACTCGAAGTTCATTTCGAAAAAGTAATTCAAAAATATTGTGTTGTTCTATCGATATGAGTTTTGTAAATGAAATCTTTTTGTGTACACCTATGTATCGGGGTATTATTTTTTGCGCGGAACAGACACAGAGGCAGACAAGAATAACCGTCAAGGGGAGGTTTATAGATGGGAAATTAATAAAGCTGTCAGTTATATCGGCAAGAAGAGGAGAAGCATCCGTGCAGAACGGTTCTATCTGATCTGATGAGTCGGCGACCGAGCTTCTTGACGCATGAGGAAAATGGCGTCTTCCTCATTCAGATCAGAACAGTGCTGTTCCTAGGGATATTTGTGGAGTAATTCCTTCATATCCTCTTGAAATTTCACCGATCCCTCTTGAATTCCCCTTAACCTTTTGAGGACGGCAAAAAAAATTATAATTTGAACAGAAAATGATTCCTTGTGATATTAAAAAATTAGGAAGTCTTTATGATAAGGTATATCAATATTTCCATGAAAAATATTTTTTCTAGTCATTTGTCAATTGTCTTTTCATCAATTTCAATAAAATGTTGTGGTTTTGTTAATAGTAATATGGAGATTCTTTTAGTGCCATTAGATTCGAAATAATATTCCCAGTGGCGTCACAGTGGGTGAATTTATCGATATTCATTGTGAATGTCATTGTATACAGTTGTATTCAATAAAAAGGCGTACATGTATTAAAAAGAGAGGTCAACGTCATCCTAGTTCTAGTTGTGTAAAACTGGCTCGGCCAATGCTTTGTAGTTTTGAGAACCTATATATGACTGTACTGTCAACATATGGTGAAAAATCTTTCCCGATAGCTCGTTTAGTCTACATCCATTCTGAATTTTTTGCACAATCGGGTCGATTCTGTTCGGATCTTGTTATATAACATTGCTAAGATAATAATATTGTTATGATCATAACATATAACGATATTGCTATGAAGTTTTGTATTCTGTTTGCAGAGTAACTGCAAGATTGGTTATAAGTTCAAGTGATAGCAATATTGTTGAAAAATTGAGGATTTTTGAGCTGACAACACTGTTTTCAACTCATTGTTTAAGTGTAAGGTATCGATTTTGCCATTATTTCATGGAGAAGAAGAGTTCATGATTATCTAACAGAGTAACTGCAAGATTGGTTATAAGTTCAAGTGATAGCAATATTGTTGAAAAATTGAGGATTTTTGAGCTGACAACACTGTTTTCAACTCATTGTTTAAGTGTAAGGTATCGATTTTGCCATTATTTCATGGAGAAGAAGAGTTCATGATTATCTAACAGAGTAACTGCAAGATTGGTTATAAGTTCAAGTGATAGCAATATTGTTGAAAAATTGAGAATTTTTGAGCTGACAACACTGTTTTCAACTCATTGTTTAAGTGTAAGGTATCGATTTTGCCATTATTTCATGGAGAAGAAGAGTTCATGATTATCTAACCTCTCAAATTAGTCAGTCCTGCGCTGCCATTTTACAAAATTCTGGTCGTCGTTGTGCGACTGGCAAGTAATCAATCATGTCCCCGAAATGAGAAAACAACTAAAAGCCGGATGAAAATAATCCTGATTTTTTTTTATATTCTAGCAAAATAGCTTGATGAAATATCCATCAGGCAACTGAAATTTTTCTGATATGCCGAAATTGTAGTCTCACATTTCCTCTACAAATTGGAACTTCAAGAAAAGGTTTTCAAGTAGTGGTCACAGTATATAGTGAACCTATCCTATATGTTTGTAATCAACATTTTATGTTTTTCAATGATTCTTCTACGAATTGAAATTTTGAGGAAAGGTTTTCGGGTAGTCAGTGATACAACTGAACTCTCATATGTTTTTAATCCACTATTTTGTGAATTTTCATACAGTTGGAAGAATTTGTAGTGCCAAAACAAAGAATCCACTACCTTATTGTTATAAGATAGCAAGCACAAAATTTATGTTGCCGAGATAGCAAGAAAGCTGACCAGATGTCATTGAAATTGACAGATCATATTGCCAAAAATCGATGATTAGAATTCCACTTTTTCGAATCTAGCTATGATAGCAATATCTTTTCTACAACCATATTGCTATTTGCAAACAGAATCGACCCGAATGTATCTAAAAAACGAGGCAAGTTATAGGACACATTTTTATTGGCTAGAATGTCACAAGGGAACACCCCTTGAATTTTGTCGGTGTTATTTAGATACACCCTGTATAGAATCTGTATTATTCGGTGTTTTATGCTTAAAAATAAAAGTGTACAACAAATTTCAAATGAAAATGCCACGTAAAACATTGCATCCCTGAGAAACGTTTCCGTTCAAAAATGGACTGTCACTAGGGTGGTTTGTCGCCCCTGATCGCGTTATCAACTTGTTACCATAGCGATTGCTAATCGCAGCACGCCATGCGGAGCTTTTCCGCTCCAGAGACCGCCAATGGGCGTCGGGAAATCGACGCGCGAGCGCGTTTTGTTTCGCTTCGACCGTCTTTTGTTTTGCTTGTCGAGATTGGTACGGTTTTATCTGAATACTTGAAGGAAACGAACGGTATCGATTTGGTCATAGAAAAAAATCTCGTGTCAACGAAAGATTCATCTGAAGATGATTTTTTTATATCCTACAGGGTGGTCCCGAAGTGATTGTACCGATTGTTTATAAACTACGCAACTATAATATACGATTTGAATTCGAATCACACTGTTCGCTAGTCCAGTCCTTCAGCAATAATCTCGTAATTCTTTAAAACATTGGGTTCTTCACATAATACCGCTACAGGGTGTTACCTGAAACTGTGCAGAATTTCGGAAATTTCAAAAATATCCCAAATGAAGAAAAACTTTTTCTGCCAACTTTGGCAGTAGAGGCATGTAGATGATCTCATTATCTTGGGACAGTTCTCGAATTGTCTCCTTATCTCTTTTATTTACAGAGTGATCTCAAAAAAACAGTTATGACTGCAAAACCAGAAAGTTAATTTTTGAGATCACTCTGTGAATAAAAAAGACATGGAGACTCTGCTGTCGAAGTTGAAAAAATTAAGTTTTTGCCCAATTGGGATCCTTTTGAGAATTCCGAAATTTTTGCTGTATAATAAATTGTGCCAATTTTGAAACAATTGGATATCATTTATTCGATTTTACAAATCAAATATCAAGCATTCGCTTATGGAAGGAAGATATGAAACGGCCTGGGTGGAAAATCAATTTGAAGACGAGCGAAATTTGTGAGGTACTCATTGAAATTCACTTCTTATAACAGCATCTTATTACAATAAATCTATATTTCAGGCCCATTTTCAAACAGAAGATTTCAAAATCTGTTTGAGAGTTTCTGCTGTTCCATCAATTTACAAAACAGACGATTTCAAGAACAAAATTCCATTATTAAATCATCACACAAAATACAAAACAAAATAATCATGGAAAAAGGGGAAATAATCGCAAAATCACATTATGAAATTGAAAATTTGAAAACGAAACTAAGAAAAGCAAGTAAACTACAACGTGATATATTATTGAATGGCGTTTTTGGTGCTGACCGCGAATTCGAAATTCAACAGTGAAAAGGAATATCAAGGGAATTATTATAAGGGCCTTAATTACGCTGGAGGTTATCGTTTTGCAGATATTTTCTATATCGATCCATGTTACTTAGCTCCTAGGGCGCTTAGTGAAGTTTCTGAGAACTTAACAAAACCAAGTATTTGGTAGGTCTCGTCAAAATAAATTACTTTTTTCCCATGAAATCTTAATCGAAAAATGATTTGTTCTCTGTATTTCAACACCCCTGTCTCTCCGAAATGAAGCATTTCCAGACACAAGCTTATATAGACTTTATTTCTTAAAATTGTCTCAGGAATACTTCACTGGAGTACAGTTTCACATACAATAAGGAATTATAGCTATAAGTTTATCCATTTGTATATATTCTCTGATATTAAAATGTTGTTACATGCATTTTTTCCATTTATATAAATCTTGCTCTGCTAGAAGTGTATCACTATGAATTGAAGTGGGTGTTTGTACCCTATATCCATTGTCCATCTACGGCTATGATTGATTTGACAGAAAATATAACCTCTAAAATCGTATCTGACAATCAGGCGCTACTAGGGAAATTGAAAAGACAAAGAGCAGAATATATGTCTTATTCTTTTATTAACTCAAACCACTGTATTATAGAAAATAGAAAAGGACAAAAGTTCAGCTGTGTCCGAACTCTTATCAAACTAATACCATCCAGTGACTCTAATTGAACATCGTCGCTAACAATATATTTTCTTCTTGTTACAGATATGGCATGGATCTCAATGGAGCCCGAAGGAAAAATGCGACTCGTGAAACGACTAGCACCCTCAAGGCCTGGCTCAACGAGCACAAGAAGAACCCTTACCCGACCAAAGGAGAGAAGATAATGCTGGCCATTATCACGAAAATGACCTTGACGCAAGTGTCCACGTGGTTCGCGAACGCCAGGAGAAGGCTGAAGAAGGAGAACAAGATGACGTGGGAGCCCAGGAATCGCGTGGAGGACGATGACAATAACAATGATGATGACGAGCATGATAGGAAGAGTACCGATGGAAAAGATATACTAGGTGAGTTGCACATGGTCAAAATCTCTCGCCACTATCAGTTGGCAAGCACACACTGAGAAAAATTTCTATCAATAATTATAAGTTAGATATCGAATTATTTAACCCAGCGAGAAACCCTAATAGCATAATGGACAAGCGAATTATCACTTTGCTGATCAGACCTCACTAGAGATTGATGGAAGGAAAATCTCCAAATCATCTCCACGATTTTTAATGGCGAAGGGTTACATTTGAGGGTGGGACATGTTTTACTTGAGATTATTAAAAATCGAATCTTTCTGCCACTAGCCAGTGCATCTGTTTATGGCTAAGTATCAGAAAATGTTTCTGTAGTAGGTATTTGACTTCACTACCGCTAGTGGGTGCATCTAATAATAGGAGTAGGGCGATGTTAGAACCTTAGGTAGAGAGCTTATCTACGTGGGTGAGCATACAGATTCTCGTCATGAAGAGAGGTAACATTGCTAGATTCCTATAGAACACTTCGGTGTCAAGATCTATTCAAAAGTCATCATCAGGAACGATAAAAGATATCTAAGTAATTATTGAATGACATTTTTTTTAACAAAACTTTGTGATTAATGTATTTGGTAAACAAGGCAAGTTAGCAAAGATGCGTACAAAGAAAGAACCTGTTAAAGTCGTAAACCAATCCTAATTTTAGCAAATTTACCACCTGAACATTTTCGCCCACAATGAGTTATTAGACTACATTCTATATAGAGAAACTCTGAAAGCAATTTGACAATTTGAAATAGTTATTCGGTACTTGGGTTTGCATTATTAGCCCAATTGGGAATGCATGAACATATCTTCGGAACGCAAGATGTCTGACAAATAGCGGGGGGCATATCAGCAAACTGTTGAATAACGATAATGAGGCACTGAATCACCCCAAGTAGGTTCGTCAAGTGTTATTTTGGTGGCATGTTAGGATTTGTATTATTGCTACCTAATGAGTTAGCAACTAGTAGCTATTCACCTAAGAAAACCATGAAACAATCTTGGTAATAATCCCAGAAAACAAATTTACGGAACTAAAGCATAAACAGAAGGTGATTTAGTAGGTTCAAAATTCATGAGTTGACTGTGCAGAATTGTTGCATCACGTTACATCACGTTACATCATATGTTACTTCACTTCTATGTTATAGTAGTTATATTATTGTAACATCGATGAGTAGTCAATGTGACGTCAGAATGTAGATAACACTTACGTCTCACTTATATAATTGCAAGATAACTTTTATACTTCTGTGAATATAAATAAAAAATAATAACCACACGAATTAATACTTCATTGAACAAAAAGTACATCATGAAACGTGAAAATTCACCAACCTACAGTATGATGTTCTTATAGGTCGAGTCTTCCACTTTTATATTCCTTTGGCCATACCAATATAATACTTGAACTCCATACTCGTTTGGGATAGTTTCTTGTTATATGTAGGAAAACATGCATTGAACATATTATTCAACTCACCAAAATGAAGTATTCCACGTTCCAATCAAATTTTTTGAACTTAGATAGTTCAATTCTCAAGGCACTGGTCCAACTCGCTGGTCAAGGAACAATAACATAACTAAACAAACAACGTTGACGCCATTTTATTTCCAACCCGAGACGACCCCTTTCGACCTCCGAGCAAGTCTAGCTCGATCATCTATCGTTCATGTTCGTTCCTCAGAACTCGAGAAATACTGCAATCAGATTGGTCGTTTTCACGTCCGATTGTTGAAGATGAATTTGTTGTGACTGAAATTTATGCAAAATTTACATAATATCCTAGATATTCTATGAACATAATCGTAGTTGCGAAGATTTTATATAATCAATATGTAAGAATGTCATCTAAAAGTGATATCACTGGTATATGGAACATTGCTGTGAAATCGAGAGAAATAAGTTTTTATATCTAGAATTAACAGTACATTGACGTCAATTTGAGGGAATTAAGTTATGGAACATTCATTATATGGAACTGACGGCATATGTATGTAAATATCACAAATGTATGTTTACTGGGACTATCCTCAGTGCACTCGACCAACCCAAGCCCTAACCCATCCAAACTCTGAAACAACCCCATAACATCCCCCATTGTTGCAGATTCCAAAGACTCCGGAACAGCTTCAAGCGAAGACGGAGACCGACCACCCCATTCCCGCCTAGCCCCCGACACAGCCAGCGAATGGAGCGAGTCCCGCAATGACAGCGGCCCGGACAGCCCCGAAATCTACGACCGACCACCGCACCCCGCCTTCCTGCCCCCCAGAACCTCTGGATCGCCTCCCCAGATATCGGCCTCCATCAGCCACGCAGCCACCAAGCCAAGGATCTGGTCCCTGGCGGACATGGCGAGCAAAGAAGGGGATAGTCATCACCCCTCAGCAGCCTCTTCGCTGTATTCGAGCGCCGGGAGGCTGGTGCCTCGGCTGCCTCCTCCAGGGCTGCACTCTTCCCCCTACTCCAGGCCTCACGAGTTCTACAGGAGTCTGTACAGCCCAGCTGCGCAGCACTTAGCTTCTCCTGACGCCTCCCTGCTAGAAACCTACCAAAGAACCCTCGGAGCTAACCTGATAGCTGCACAGAACGCCGCCAGTGCTGCTCAAGCCTCACCAGTGTTCACCAAAGCCAGCTTAGCTTCGGCTAGCTCTAGCTCTGGTGGCAGCGGTGGTTTGCCGCTGGGGCTGACGACTTCATCGAGAATGTCACCATCTTCGACGTCTTCTCTGTCTTCTGGGTCGGAGACTCCGATAAAACCAGTGGCTCTGAACAAGGCTTGACCTTTGATGGTGAGGGCCAGTCTGTGGCCGTGATCTACCTCTCGGAATGTGCAAATGCTTTGTTAGTGCGTGCAGTGCATCGTCGATATACAGGGTGTTTCATAATTGAATGTCAATATTTGGGGACGCAATTCTTGGGCCCATTCTAAGAAGAAAGTTTCATATGAACGTATGACCTAAACATCCTAACTTTTGAGATACAGGGTGGTGAAGTTCTCAAAAATTAATAGTTTTTTATTAATATCTGTAATACCACTTCAGATATTCTGATGAAATTTGGCATACATGTACTATGTATCAAGAGGCATCAGTTAGCGTACCACATTTTTTGTTGTTGCCACCAGTGGCGTTCGTATGGAATTTCACATACCTATTTTGGCAGACATTGATGGTACGCCACTGATTAATCTCCAAATTGAAATCATTCCTAAAATTCCCGATCATTTCTAAGCAAATTTGATCACTACAATTTTTTCAATCTGATGCACGGTTTTCGCTTAAAAATAAAAAGCTTTTCACTACATGATTATAGTAATATTGTTAATATGATAATATCACAATGCAGAGAAATAGTTTTTATTTTTAAGATCAAATTTCAGAAATACAATTCATAGTTCATGAACTTTGTATTCGTATTTGGTATTTTCGAATTATAACTTCTCATTGTAGTAGGCTATATTAATTTTCGAGAATTTTACCACCCTGTATCTCCAAAGTTGGGACGTTTAGGTCATACGTTCATATGAAACTTTCTTCTTAGAATGAGCCCAAGAATCGCCTCCTCGAATATTGACATTCAATTATGAAACACCCTGTATAGAAAGCTGGTGTGTGGATTAGAACTGGAAGATCAGACTGTCTCTTGAGAGATGACAGCAAGAAGTATGGGCTGTATTATCGTTGATTGTCATGTTCCAATATCAATTTCTAGGGTGCGATGCAATGTAAGTACTATGTGGACAATAAGGGCGCTATCTTATGTACAGTAAATGTGATATATTCCTCCCCGTTTCGTTCCTTAGTTTACCCAGCGTCAGAGTTGTAAATACCCCTGACTGTTCCCGAACAGCAGTATAAAAACCTTGTATCTATGTATGTATTCCAGTGTTAGAGAGCTGTAAAATGTTATTGTAATAAGATTATACATGAAAGACGTATTCGAGAACTTAGTATCATTGTACTTCATTTCCATCGGACATATCTATTATAAAATATTTCCAACTTATTGAGTCGTGTGTTGACTCTGCAATAAAGTGATTCGTTCTTTATTTATAACTTTGTTTCATTTCTTGACATGACATGAATAGTGATCCAGAAGGTTTTATAGAAACGTGTAATGGTAAATTTGAGATAATACGATAATGATACAACTGGACTTTGTGTTTTCATAACGTATTGATGGAAGCCAGATAAACACGAAATTCAATAAGAAAAAAATCACCTACAACACGATTCTACCACAAAAACAATAATTCAGGTGAGTGCATGAACACATCTTCTTGTGGAATTCTGAATAAGGACTCGCTCTTTCTTCAAACATTCTACTTTCAAAGGTAGGGGCATAGTTTTATCCACCATTAGGTATAGTGTGCTCGAAATGGTTTGAATGTTGAACCACGAAAACCTAGAGAAAAAAGTTAAATCATCATTCAAAGAATGTTTTGCAGAGTGGCTCGGTAAATGGAAATCATTATCCGTATACCTATTGATTGATTGATTGATTAATAGCAGAATGATCAGTCAGGGTTCGAAGCCCAAAACACTGCAGCCTTTGGGCCTATTGTATTCCTGATCATGCTGTTCACTCAGGTGAACAGGTTCGCTACCTTGATGAGGTTTAGCAGCCTCTTCACCAAATCATTCTTTGAAAATGCCTCTTGAGAGTTTACTGCTCCCAGAAGGTTGTATCTCCAACGCGCTAGTGCTTCGCACTCCAATATTACATAGGTGGCAGTTTCCTCCTCCTCATTGCATAGTCTGCATATGGGTTCGTCTGTATAGATGCCCATTTGATGCATATGTTTCCTCAAGGGGCAGTGACCGGTTATTAGTCCCCGTCACTTGTTTGATCTGACTTCTGTTTAGACTCAGAATGTCGTTAGTCACTGTTTTGGACAGTGTTCCAACCATCAGTTTACTGTGTATTCGTCCTGGGACATTGTTCCAGTATGTCTGATGTCTTTCTTGCATCCACCTTGCCAGCCAGCCGCGTATTGAGGTTTTGGGGATACCGAACACAGGTTCCGGTCCCATAAACAACGTCGCAGACCCTTGCCTGGCAAGAGCGTCAGCTGCTTCATTGCCTTCAATTCCCATATGCCCTGGCACCCATTGAAGAGTTGCCTTGTTGTGGTTAGCCAGGGTTAGCAGGCTTTGAAGGCAATCCCAGACCAGTTTTGATCTGATCCGTATACATATAGAACTTGCTTCAGAATATTTTGTGAAAATCTTATCGTTTGTGAAGTTTTTACATTTGCTTCAGAAACATTTCCATTCAAAATAGCCAGGCATTGTCGAAAACAAACGAAATTTCAAGACAACCAGATATAATACTGGTTTCAAGAAATAGGTATGTAAAAACACGAAGGAAGGAGAGATATTAGTTTTGGTTCAATCATTCTAATCAGGAATCTATAGCGGTATAAACCCTCATAGATGTTTCCTTGTATTCAACTTTTCAAGTTCATAGTTGTTAGTTGAATTCTTAGTTTAGTTGAATCTTTGAACCCAGCATAAGAAATTTTGTTTTGATCAGGAAATCCTTCAAGATTCACATACTTGCTTGATCTGTATTAAATTCGTTATACTCGGGATGGATAACTTGTTTTTGAATAATCACGGCCAGCAATAGTTTTTTGTCTCGGACAAGGACACTGTTCACCTTCATTTGATTATCGAGTCAAACACAGTTGGAGTATGGAGAGACATAAATAATCGCTATTATTATTGTTGATATGCTCACTAACCTAACATTTTCCACGTCTTTTTCCTATACCTGGCACTGGCGCGGTATTCGCTATCAGAGTACCTGGTCCATACACAAATATATCACTCTGTGGTTGTATTCATATTGAAACGACAATTCGAACATCCTTGAAAATTGAATAAACCTGATCTGTTAATGCAGGTAAAATATTCTCACCACACGGAAGATTTGTTGCATTGCATACATATCGCACGGCATTGGTGGTTACTCCACATATTTGTTTTAGTTTATTCTTTCAGTTGCAGAACAAGAAGCATGTTTCGTTTGGATCGAAAGTGACTTTGTTCAACTCGCAAATTTTGCTTTCGCTCGGCTTCGCTAGACGCTCGCCCCGCAAAGGCAAAATTCGCTTGTCAAACAAAGTGTCACTTTTGATCCTAATAAAACAATCTACTTATTTTTTTAGTTTTCAAAACCATACTATTCATTTGTTAATACTTCAATTTCTCTCAATGTCCTGCATCCAAATTCAGAAGAATCTCTGTGATGCAATGAAAAACCAGTGTTCTTTTGCCGGTACGTGAGCATCAGTCCCAAGATTCATTGCTCTACTACTCCAAATCGTTGTCCTCTACCGGTGGTCTTTTTCGAAATTCGTACAATGGAGATGAGTGCCTATTGTCAGCGAAACTTGACGTCTCCGACCGCACTGAAGAAGTCTCGCCAAGGGGTTCGGTCAATTGCGCTTGATAGTGGGCAAGCTGCCGCTGGCGAATTCCTCCAGATGCAGAGATTCTCGTTCAACCTTCGGTCTCCAGAAGAATCATTCGATGCTCGAGTCGAAATAAATTATTTGATGTATACAGGATTATCCAAATTGAGTGGTCACCGATGGTAACTTCGTTATTTTCGGAAATATAACATTGTTTGATATAATCAAGAGAAAAACCCAACGCCTCACAACAAGCAAATTTCAATGAATTCGCTACATGTTTGGACTCCTAGAGGAATCATCATCAGGCTAAAATACAAAAATCTATAGTCACTACTAGAAGTTCCAGTTGGAAAGAAACAGGGTGGGTGACATACCTACTTTGTTGGGTATATAGGAGGAATAAAAACCTAAAATTGAGAACATAGTTCACTAAGGCAGCCTCACATTTTCAAAAACATTTTTGAATTTGGGTTTTTTGAACCTCCAGATAAACAGTTCTACTTAGGTAGGTAGGTACATTTTTTGATTTGGGTTTTTTGAACCTCCAGACAAACATTTCTACTTAGGCAGGTAGGTACTTATTTCCTGTTTACAAAAATTAACCAAAATTATATGAAAATGGCATGAGATAATCAACGAAACCGACATTTTATGGAACATTTTCAATGCTCTTTAAAATGGAAGAATTAAAGATGAAAACTGAGTAGACATAACATAACATCAGTGTATACAGGGTTATTCATGATGAGACTGGCATAGCCAAATGGTGAATTGGGGAAATCTCGCGAACTGATGTTTATAAATATATAGAAAATGTTTTTGGTCATTCATAACGAATTTACAAGGTATTATGTGAAACTGCCATATAACTTTGATGGCCGATATATCATAAATGAAATATGGGAGCGACGTTTCTCTATATTGAAACTATTGAAGATGGGATTTTATTAAAAAAAAATCCAGATCCGAACTTGGAAAAATTGATATTTTATTTTTATATCGAAAAAGTTCACTTAGTGATCACGTTTCTCGAAAAATTTCATCAGAAGCAAGAATTACGATGAAAGTCACTCCTTATTCTATGACTGGAAAACGAATTTCGAAATTCAAAAGGATATTCCAAAATTATGCAATTCAAATTTTTAATCAGAATTTTTGATAACGGGTAATTATTTATCGGTGAAAACAATTGGAGTATACTCAGACTGCTATGATTTTTCAATTGTTCTTTCAATTTGAACTTATGATCGAAACAACACAAAAAAATTGCAAAAACGATGGTTCTTGTTGAAAAATCCTCAAAAATTATGATAGTTCAGGATACAGTTTGTTTTTTTCTTCATCATAAAATTCAAAAAC